AGAGAGAGAGAGAGAGAGAGAGAGAGAGAGAGAGAGAGAGAGAGAGAGAAGGAATTTGGGCCTCGGGTAGACCATAGTCACTAAAGAAGCCCTGGTGATACTTCAGAGAGCATCATCAGCAAACACACCTGTGTTATGGTGTCCTGAGTCCTTTTTTTTTTTTTTTTCCAGTTTATTCAAAGTAGCTACTCCTTGGTCACAAAACCAGGAAACACAAAAGTACATCCGTATTTGCATTGTGCTATACTTTTTTAAATTAAGAATTTATTTCTTTTAAAGATTGTGTTAAAGGTCCTGAGTCTTTGAAGTGCTACCTGTGTTACGGAGTACTGAGTCTTTCACTTCCTGTGGAGTCTGGTTCCCTCAACTACACTTTCTACAACTGTGTGTGGGGTGGGACGAAGAAAATGGGCTGGAGACTTACTTTCTGGGACATGCCCTGGCTGTTCTGCACGAGATCCTTCGGCAGATCTTCAGCCTTTTCCAGACATATGTTCTTCTGGGCGTTTGGGAGGAAAAACCATAGAGAGAGTCCTAGTTGTGCCACACCAACAACTGAAATACATGGAGATACATGAGGATCTTAGCAATGAGCTATTTGTAATTCAAGAGGTATTACTGTTGTAGAGATGTTCTCATTGGTTTACCATGGTCACAGCTACCCTAGGGAAAATGGACCAAACGACTGTATCCATCTCTTCTCACGTATTTTATTACTTGCCGGTTTCATATGTTCATAGAGAAACAACACATGTGTAGCCATTATACTGGTCTTGTAGATTGTTACACTCTGCTGCTATCATGAGACAATAACCACGCGGATAATTTTTACTTTTATCTTATTTTATAAGCTACAATATTAGATATTAAACTGACTGGATGAGAAATAAAACAATCCAAGATTGTTGATACATATTTTTAGATCAATCTGCCCAAATACTTGTGCACATTTATAATTCTACTTGAAGTTTCAAAGTTATCAGGCTGTGGGTTTTAATGTTTACCTCTGAGTGTAGTCGAAGTACTGCTAAGCCTTTGATAAATAACACTCCAAGAAATAATACTGCTTTAAAAAAAAAAAAGCTTACTCTCAATAAGAGAACATTACTAAGCCTGACTAAACATTTAGAAAACGCATTGTGTGAAGTGAAACCTTGTATGTAATGAATAATGAGGGCAATAGAGGATCAGACTGGACACCTGTAATTGTCTCAAGAAAAGTATACAGTGGGGCCAGCTCTCCCCTTACTTCCTCAAAGAGCCAACACAATGGGGAAAGGAAAGGGACTGTTCCATAAAAACCCTGAAATGGGAACCAGAAAACCTCAGACATAAACTTGAGGCAATGACACACAAGGAAGCAAAGGCAACAGAAAGAGTGTCCTCCACCATAACCTGAGAGACATGGAAGGCCAACATTTCCTGGAGCTGGAGTTTCCCCAGGTGAGCGCAGCCATCAGCACTTCTGTCCCTCGCCACGATGCACCTACAGCTCCCTGAAATGGTGCTGCTGCTCTTGGCTTCTTCCACGCTCTCCTCCCTAGAACCGCGAAAACCATCTAGAAAGAGTCCTAGCGGCGCTTCACCAACAGCTGAAGTACGTGGAGTCGCTAACGGGACGACAAGCAGAGCAGAAAAGCAGTAGCTTGAGTGTGCAGAACCTTAGGTTACAGATTAAAGCGTACTTCCGGAGGATCCACGACTACCTGGAAAAGCAGAGGTCCAACAGCTGTGCCAGGGTCATTGTCCAGATAGAAGCCAACCGCTGTATGTTCTTTGTGCTCAGGCTCACGGGATGGCTGAGCAAACAAGAACCAGACCCTTGAACACTGTGAAGCGAGAGTCAACAGTGGACTTTAAAGGCACAGGTTGGTGGCAGAGTGCGAGGAGATAGATGAACATTACTGCTTCTTTTGGATGTACGATGGCTGCCTTGTGTGGCTTCTGCATGTCTTTAACTGTGTCTTAAGATTGCATGAGTTGGCTACAGTTATTTTCCTCTTGCCATGCCGTGTCATGTTCTCTACCAGTTTTTTTAATTATTTGACAATTAAAATTGATTCATTAAAATTACATAATTGCTTCTTGAAGCGGTGACATTTTCACAGACTCCTGCAGCTAGAAATGATGAAGTATGACTTTAATGTAATTAGCATTCCTTAACAATTCCAGTGAATGCCTTGTTTACCAGAAATTGTTAGAGGTGATGAGTAAGAGTTGAAACGAAGACCAAATACTGAATATTTCTGTTACTAGAGACTAATAGAAATATGGTCCAAAGACGTGAACAATTTTCAGAGGAATGAAAACAGATTTAATCTCACTCATTATAATAATAACAATGCAGATTACAACTAAATAGCATGCCACTTTATCCTATTAGGTAACGCCTCAAGGTTTAATTAAGAAAAATGCAGAGACTCACAGACTGCTGAGAAAGCAGGACAATTTTCCTGTATGGCAGTCACTGTGGTTGGATTGGCAAATGCTCTTATAATTTGCCAGATCAGCAGAAGTTGGCACAGGCCATATTCTCACAAGGAAAAATATTTTTGTTGAAGAGAATGCTTCCCATACATAAACACATAAAACAAAAAATATAGGAAAATGTGTGTAAGTAGCATATTCGGGCAAAACCATGAAATAACTTTAATATTTGCTCTTGCTGTCTGTGTGTGAAGAACTAAAGAACACATGAGAAATAAATTCCAGCGATAAATTAGTGCACTGTGAAGAAAGGGGAGGTAGATCTTTGGGGGCACAGACTGGGGAAGGAGAGTTTTCACTCTTGTTTCTAAGTGGTAATTTTGAATCAAATTAAATGTATCTAGCTTGTTGGGATTCTCAGAAATATCGGGGAAAGAGCGAGCCTTGCTGCTCAACGAAGGTGCAGGCTGAAGGCCAGAGGAAACAGGACTGAGGCAGCCTGCGCTTGCCTGGCAGTGGCTGGGAGGAAGCTGAGCACGCTGCAGGGAGGGGTTTCTGCTTCAGGAGGGGTCTGGTGGTGACTTGATTACCTCTCTCCTGGGCAAACCTCTTAAGAAGTTCTCACAAAGCAACGTGGAGCAAGCTGTCTGAAGTCCACCGCGACTTGGTCTGTTTGCTACGTTATCTAGACACTAGCAGCAAGGCCAAGGACACAAGCCCCATAGCTACTTCGACTCCGCAATCATTGCATAATCTGCCATGGAAGTTACTACTGAGCTCAGAGGCTTGCTGGAGAACCAGACCATCATAGTTTAGTCTAAACACTGCAAGCATCTGTTGGTGGATGCTTCTAGATTTGGCTTGAAATGAATGGGGAGAAGCTGACTGGGCTTCTGGATGTGAAGGAGTCCCCACAGTCAAGTAATCTTTCCAGCAACCGCAAACACAGGAGCTAGCTGTCAGGAAAAAGTCCTTGCTGACTTCGCTGTGAGGCCCAGGATAGGATCTGTTTACCTTCAAGTTCATACAGAGGGAGTGGAGTCAGGGAAGAGGTATTTACCACACTTGACTGAAAACGCAGGTCGTTTTGCTTCTCCTGGTCTGGAAAGCTTTTTTGCTCTTGTTTTTCTCCTTCAAACCAGGAAGTTTTCAGAACCAAATCCATCGTCTAACAATTATTCATCTCTCCAAACCAACTTGCAAGGTATTTTCTGCTATTATCTGTTTTTCTCAGGTGGAACCAAGACTTCCAAGATGAAGTAACATGCTTGAAGTAAGACAGTGAGTCCCAGAGCTAGCAGAAGCCACAGCAGAAGGCCCATTCCAAGGTACCCCAACTTGTGGCTCAAAAAAGCTGTTCTGCTGCGATACTGTTGCAAAATAATCACTTGTAATAATACTTCTCTTCTAGCTTTGTCATGCCCTCTGAATCCCAAACTAAAGAAAAGACATTTCCCCTCCTCTAGACACCCCTTTCTGCAGGAGCTGCTAGGAATCCTCGGGGCCAAAGAAAATTCCCAAGAAACAGAAGACAGGATAGAATTGGGAGGTCTGTCTGGTCATGCCGAAGCAGCCAAACAGCCCCAATTTATCCCAGAAAGTGCTTATATACAAAAGCAGAAGAAAGCACAGCACAGACAGTCAATATCTAACCACAAGACCATTCCTGTCCTTGGGGGAGCAGCCTCCTCTCTAACATGTGCTGGCTGCTCGGAAGCAGCCTCACTTTCTATCTTGATGTTCCTGAGCTTTGTCGTCAGCAGTACACTGTCTACTAGACAGAGTGTTCTTTCCTCGTGGACTAAATCAGAAGTCTCTCACAGCCCTCAAGGTTATTGGAAAAGGCAGAGCAAGCAAGCTTGAACTCAAATGGCCTAAGTCAGAAATGACTCCAGGTGGAAACGGAGACACACATGGGTTCCCACACCTTTACTCAAAACTGAGAAACGGAATGCTCTGTGAACGGTGAAGAGTGAAAAAAGCCATGGCTGCTATCACACAAGAGCGTAGAGTAAGCCAGGCAATGGTGGAGCACACCTTTAATCCCAGAGCTTGGGAGGTGGAGACAGAGAAGGCCAACATGGTCTACAGAGTGAGCTCCAGATGGCCAGGGCTACACAGAGAAACCATCTGGGGGCAGGGGTGCAGTTAGAGTAAAACCATCTCTGGTTCTGAACAGCATTCAGTAAAAGAGAGGGAAATGGAGATGGGGGGGGACTGCCCACCTCTTTTATGGAGGTGGGGGATGACTCTGAAGTGTAACCACAGCCCTGGATATGGAGGGCACAGCCTGAAATTCTATCTCTACTGAAAAAAAAAATAAATGCTATCTGAATTTCTCTGAGTAAATGGACTTAGAGTCCATTTGGGCTGTGAGTGACGCTGGGTGAGCCAATCAAATGGCTCAATTTTTCCCATTGTTTTTTTTTCTTTAAAATATTCTATGATGCCGCTAATGGGAAAGGGAAAATAATGGCTTCCACAAACTACAAAGAGAAGTATGTAGCTGTGTCCAAAAGGAAAATGGGATTAGTGACCACCGAGCAGTGGTTCTGACCCATATCATATACATTCACGTGACCAGATAGTCCTGCTTCTCCCTGTCCCTCGTGTAGGGCACCCCATTATTCCTCTCGTTGCCATGGCCAGGTAACTAACAAGAAGTGACTTATGGGAGGAAGGGCTTAGTTGACTCTCAGTTCAAGGGGTCACAGCCCAGCGCAGTGGGCATAGCATAGCAGGGCGGCGGGCATGTGAGCTCACAGTCAAGAAGCAGAGAGCAGACAGAAATTGGGTCAAGCTAGCAAACTTCAGCACCCAATCTCAGTGACTCAAAGTGTCTATGGCATTCTATGTCCTACTTTCTTCAACTTTCCCAAACAGCTCCACCAGCTGGGGAGCAAGGAGTCAAACACCTGCACCTGTGGGAAACCACAAGCACACACACACTGACCTGCAGGGCTGCTCTCAAGGGCTTTCCAGTAATCCCTTCGAGGGCGGGGTCCAGAATATTTACATCCTACACAGTCCTCTTCACAACGGTGGGTGTGGCCTTGTGCACTGTAGAAATAGGACAATGATGACAAAAGCCAACACTTTGGGACGTAGAAGGTAAACTGATTTTATGGCTCATTGTTGGGTGCCGAGACAGTAGGGTGGCCCACTGTTGGGTGCCGAGACAGTAGGGTCACCCACTGTTGGGTGCCAAGACATGTAGGGTGGCCCACCGTTAGGTGCCAAGACAGTGAAGGTGACCCACTGTTGGGTGCTGAGACCATAGGGTGGCCCACTGTTGGGTGCCCAGACAGGTAGGACACATTCGTGAATTTGTAGAGTATTTTCAGGAGTTAGGCAGTGCTCCCGCCCTTACATTGATAAGCTTTCCACATTTTTTTCTCCCTAATCTCTGATGTTGCTCTCTGGGACATTCCTCCTCATCTGTGACAGTCTTTCTATGAGTTCTTCAATATCGTGGTTGAACCTAGGACCTCACTCAAGCACTCTATGTGCCTTGCCCCTTTTTTCCTTTCTGTTTTCAGGGTACACATTTTGAGATGACAACTCACTACCTTGCACTCACTCCACAATTCAGGCAAGGCTTTGAATTTGAGATTTGGAACAGCTGAGTTAGAGCTTGTGCCACCAAACCATTTAACTATTGCACCTGGCTGAATGCAGAATGGCTATAATAGACCTTCTATGCGTTTTCATTCATTCACTTACCCTTCGTTGCTTTCGTCAAATAATTTATTATTTTAAAACTACTGTATGAGCACATGAACACTGAAAAGACAAAATGAAAAAAACTTACTAATGAGCATCAAGGACAGAAATTCTTTTTTTTTAACTTAGTTAAAATATAGTTATATCATTTCCCCCTTCTTTCTCCTAGCCCTCCCATGCATGCCTTCATTTTTCATTCCTAGCTTCCTCTTCTCCAGCCATTGTTGTTACACACACACACACACACACACACACACACACACACACACTATTGGAGAACCAATTAAAGGGCTCTTTCCCAGAGAAGACTAATTCTGCCACTACTAGCAGTTACTACTTGCTTATAAAGCAGATTTCCCCCATCTAGGTTGCCATGCCAACTGGTGTTGTCATTGTTCAGGTCTGGTTCAGGCAGCCGTGTTGTTGAGATTTCCCAGTGTAGCTTCCCTGTCCTAACTACAAGGCACAATCTCACAGCAGACTTCTTGGCCCTCTGACACTTAGAACCTTTCTGCCCCCTCTTCTGCAATGTTCCCTGAGCCTTCAGTGGGGGGTTTCTGTTATACATGTATCAGCTGGACTGGGAACCCCTTGGTTGGTTCTTTGCATTTTGACTAATTGTGGCTTTCTGTGATGGTTTTCTTCTGCTGTAAAAAAAAAAAAAAAAAAAAAAAAAAAAAGGAAGCTTCTTTGATAGGGTTGGGGTGTGTGTGAGAGAACTTCTTTGATGGAAAGGAATCTACCCTTGCCTGTGGTTAAGTTTTAGAATGTAGCTAGGAATACACTAGTATAAGGAAGGCCGTCATCTTTCCTGCACTGGCCAGTTGGCTCAGCTCTTCAAGGCTAGACTCAACAACCAAAGAGACAAGGACAGAAATTCTTAAATCTTAGGACAAAGGTATCCATGAGCATTTTTGTCACAGGGCTTTAAGGAACATATCAACTTTGCCAGATGGTGCTTAGCATTTCCTGTGTGGCTAGGATGAGCCTTTGCACTCACCGGGAAAGTGATGCTCCTTTCTTACTCTGTCCCAAGGAATGTTCTAGAATGCTCCCATGTCAGCATGCTGACCCTTCATTTTACCTCACCTCTCACATCCCCTGAGAGTAAAATGATTTTTTTTTTTCTGTTGCTGAGTGTTGCTGTGCAGAACTTCACACTGCTCTCTGTTTGGATCAGACTATAGTCGTTGTTCGAGCTATTCTTGAATTGTGCGGAGAGGGGATACTTGTGTTAACATGCCTCTGGATTAGAGATGCACAGCCACACTTTTCCAGCTGCGGTGAGCTTGCTTTGTTTTATTTTATTTCAACGTTCTCCAGGAGTCTGTCTTACACTAATTCAAAAAGTCAAATCATATGACTTTCTAATATTTTACTGTCAAAAACCATATTTAAGTGACAAGCTCTTTCCTGATATAATTCTCATTTTAACTATTCAAGGGACTTTATTAAAGAATATATTTTAATTTTAAAGCAATGAAGTAGAAGTCTGGGCATCAGTGGTTTTGTGGTGTTTTTTTTAAACCTTTATTTTTCCAGGTAATTCTAAAGTGATACTAATAGAGAAACCATAGCTATGAGAGAACACAAGAACAATGGAAACATGGGCTGGAGAGATGCTGTAGGAGAACACATGAACAATGGGAACACAGGCAAGAGAGACGCTAGGAAACACACGAACAATGGGAACAGGAAACACACGAACAATGGGAACACGGGCTGGAGAGATTACTTAGTAGTTAGCTCCCTTGCTGCTTGTGCAAAGGACCTGAAGTCAGTTCCTAGCACTCCCATGACAACTAACAGCCCTCTGTAACTTCAGTTCCATGGATTCTATAGCCTCTTCTGGCCTCCAGACGCATCAAGAACATGATGTATATGCATACAGACATGCAAAATACACATCTAAAAATAAACAAATCTTTTTAAAATCAGAGAAGGAAATGGAAACTCTTGATGCTGATTTATGCAGCACACTTGTCTCTACCTCTGCTTCACTATCCTGCCACAGGTTAAAACTGACTATGAATCAGAGAAATACAAATCAAAAAAAAAAAAAAAAAAACCTCTGAGATTCTATCTTACACCTGTAAGAATGGCCAAGATCAAAATACTGATGACAACTTATTCTGGAGAGGTTATGGGGTAAAGGGAACACTTCTGCATTGCTGGTGGGAATGCAAGCTGGTACAGCCCCTTTGGATGTCAGTGTGGCGATTTCTCAGAAAATTAGGAAACTACCTTCCTCAAGACCCGGCAATACCACTTTTGGGTATATATCCAAAGGATGCTCAATCGTGCCACAAGAACATGTGCTCAGCTATGTTCATAGCAGCTTTGTTTGTCATAGCCAGAACCTGGAAACAACCTAAATGCCCCTCGGCCGAAGTATGGATAAGGAAAATGTGGTACATTTACACAATGGAGTACTACACAGAAAAAAAAAAATGGCATCTTGAATTTTGCAGGAAAATGGATGGAACTAGAAAATATCATTTTGAGTGAGGTAACTCAGAGCCAGAAAGACAATTATCACATGTACTCACTCATAGGTGATTTTTAAACATAAAGCAAAGAAAGCCAGCCCACAAATCACAATCCCAGAGAACTTAGACATGAGGACCCTAAGAGAGACTTACATAAATTTAATCTACATGGGAAGTAGAGAGCTCAATAAAAATTAAAAAAATAAAATAAAACTGGCTATGAATTTTCCTTCTTGCTACAAAAATAACCTCCCGGGGAGCCTGCTCACTCGCTTCTGGTTATGTTCCTAGGGATACAGACCAGGACAGACAGCAGCCATCTTCTTCATGTCCTGGCCAATGACAACTCAGTGACCAGCAGACCCAAGGAAAAACATAAGCCTCTGAGAGATTTAAAAAAAAAAAAAACTAACAATGGTTTCAGAAGTTCAAATTATCAGAGTGCATTTTTTCAAAATATATCAATGAAAATGTAGCGGATATCTTTTTCTTTGAAAATTGAAAAAACTCTGAAATAATCATTATAATACAAAGGATCTGCATTAGTGCATTCAATTTTCAAAAACAAGCAAAGCGGGAAGAATGGTACTAATATAGTTTGTTATTGGAGGGAAAGCGGAAAAACAAGTTGAGCGACGGAAAACATGAAGCAGAGAACAGACTGTGCACGTGTTCACCTGACCTGTGACTCACACGTCCCCACGATTCAGTAAGCAGAGATCTTTTCCTAGAGGCTGCAAACTGACGGACTACCCACACTAGCCTGGTTTCTCAGTAAACAACAAACTGTCTTTTGGTTTAAACAATAAAATACATGTAGTAACCCAGAGTAGGGGGCCACTAAAAAGATAAGCTTCAAACAGTGCGTTTAACCTCAGATCTCTTCTAGCTAGACTAGCTGATAGCATTGCTTTCGAAGAAAAGGTTTTTTCAGCTTGCGTTTTAAAACGTAACTTTATCACACGTCCTATTAAAGAGTGAGGGGTATTTAAATGCCTGAGACCTTAACTATACTCATTAAAGATGAATAGAATCTGGGTTTATGTTAATTAGTCAGAGGGACTTAAGACACATGGATACCTACTTAGAACTGTTGTTTCTGAGCCGCGCACGTTGCCTCTGAGCAAACACGTTCTAGTGACTGATGTTACTCTGCCCTCTACTGGTTAAAATACAAATCCCCAGTCAGATGGGTTCCAGCCCAGAGATGTCATCACCAGCTTGAATCAACCTCCCTCTCTCCCTCTTTCTGTCTCTTCTTCCCTCCCTCCCCGCCCTCCCTCCAGGATCGCACTGTGTAGCCTTGTCTGGCCTGGAAGTAGTTTTGTAGACCATGATAGTTTTGAACTCACACACCCCTACCTGTCGTTGCCTCCCAAGTGTTGATTAAAGTCACACTTGCCTCAAACTAGGGCATTAGTGAAAATTTCCCCTTAAAGCCAATGAGCAAAACAAAAACAGCATTAAATCTTCATCTGCATACTTTGGTCAAGTAATAAGAGCAGAAAATATTTGAACATTATACTACCTCGGATTTACATTGTTAAGCCCATTACGTCACCCAAAAGGTGCGCACGCTGCTTTTCCGGGATAAGTGTAGTCACCGAGTCACCGCCGCTCATCAAAGAAGCCTGTCTTTACAGCAAATGGAGGCCAGCACAGAGAACCACAACTGCACACAATACAGATAGGAAAGAGTTGTGGAAGAACCGGCTCCAACAGATACATTTCCATCTATGCCACAGCGCCAGGATCCGTGATACGGGGAACTCCAGGGAGAGGGGGGCGGAAAGATTGTAGGAGTCAGAATGTGATTAGGTCTGCTACGAAATAGCCTTTCCTACAAAAGGCTGCATAAGAGAAGACCAGAACAATGGTAGTAGCAATGGACGAATTAAAGTGGAAGGGAGAAAATGTTGCGGAGTCCCACCCCTAGACAAAGAGCTACAGCAACTAGCAACGGCTGGGAGAGGGAGAGTCAGCCTTACCCGAGAATGTGTTGGTGCTCCAATGCAGAGCGGTCATCGTGGAAACTATATACACACAGACCACCAAGACGGACTCAGCATATTGTATTTATATATTTGCTCATACATACACATAAGTATATATATGCATACAACAATAATTTGAAAAGATGCTATCAACTTGAAGGGGGCATGGAGGGACTGGAGGGAGGATACCTAGAGGGGCTGGAAGGAAGGAGGGAAGAGGAGGAAGTGACACATTCCTATTTCAATTAAAAACATTGTAAAAGCTTTCAAAATGCCTGGAATATTTCAACCTGATTTTAAACACTCATATCCAATAATGCTTCACCCAAAGTGCAAAACCTTATTTTCAAATCTTAAGGGCTCTTCAGACATCAGATGACATTTTTAGGTTATAAATTTTGTACGTATATTATAGGAAGCACCTTTCTCCTTGTTCCGTGTTCTCCGTCAGCATCTGCACAAGCAAGGGCTTGTGAAAGATACAGAATGGCTTCCTGATCCAGCCGACTCAAGATTTTACACTGCCACACATGGTTCAATCAAGACTCTATTGGCCACCGAACAAGCTAGCGGCATTAGCCCTGCGCTTACCCGTTCTCCAGCATTTTCCTCTTCAGGGTGTTTTCTTAACCTGGCCACGCCTCCCTTCTCCTAGCGTGGGCGTA